AATCTAAAGCGAGGTAGAAAATTCGTCGTTGAGGTCAATTTTTGAATTGGTTTCAGGGGAGATGGGTGATGGAGATGAGAAAAGCAAAGATTTATTAGGACGTTCTTCTTCTACTAGTGCAAATGCAGAAGCAAGAATGAAGTTTGGTTCGGTTGATGCTTTATCAGAGTTAGTTTGGTCTCCTCGCAACGGTCTAAGCCTAAGATGTGCAGATTTCAGTTCCCAAGGAAAGCCAAAATTACTCTCTCCTAATTTCTTTGATATAGGACAAAAAGCAAACATGGCGGTTCTTCATTCGAATAGCACCAGTATCGAAGAAGCCGGTTTCCGTGTAGATGTTCAGTTGAGAAATGAAGATGAAGTGAACCAAGCGTGTAGCGTGAGGAGTAACGAAATGAATAGACCATTGTCAGGTTGCTAATTAAGCAATATCATCACTAGATTGATTACAATTTCTTGTGTGTATTTGTGTTTGTTGTAATGACTAATGAGAGTTCTTGTGTGTTTTGCAGGGGTTGGTGGATCTGTTGAGGATGTGAAACATGAAAGAGAGGAGAGGGTTGAAACTAATGATGATGATGATATAGGAAGTGAAGAAGCAGACAAAAGAGTAGGAAGTTCCAAGAGATCGTTAGGTGAAGATATGTTTATGTTAAAGTTAATTGTCTAATAGTTGTGGATTTTTTTGTTTTGTCTCTTATGGTTGTTTCAATATTGAGTAGATAGTCCGAGAGCTATTGAAGGAAAAACCGGAATTGAACAGTTGAGGTTGGAAAGTAGTGGATCTCAAGAAGAACCGAGTAACCGTGGAGATAAAGAAGAAGAGGATAAGATGAATAATAGAGTTCTGGACCGTTTAGAATCAACAGATGAGAATGACTTTGCAACTCTTGCGGTTGCAGCTAGTAAGGAAGCTCTGGTGGTATGTGAAGGCAAAGGGGAAGGCTTGGCGGAGAATGAGACAGATGCTGAAATGGCTGGACCAAGTGGTTCATATAGGCGTCGTGCAAAAGAAAAAGGGAAAGGAAAAGCTTTATCTGATGGAAATTTTGATGGTGATGATAATGATGAGAGTTTCGGTAGTGTAGAAAGTTGCAACAGTGCGGGTTTGCTTTCAAGGGGGAAGAAAAGACCTGGCTTTGAGCAGGGGCTGATTCTCGGAAGCAAACGGTTGAAAACACTAGGTGAAGAATGTTTGGGGTCAACTTCAAAACTCAAGCAAGATAGTTCCTTCATGAATTGGATATCAAACATGACAAAAGGAATCTGGAATGGTAATGAAGCAGACAATCATCCTTTTGTAGCTCTTAACACTACTTCAGAAGCTAATGGTCAAGCCAATGCGGTCGCTGATCAGCAACAGTTGAGTCCATGCTGCCTCAAGGAAAATAGCGGATGCAGGAACACCAACACCGGTTTCCAGTCCTTTTTCCAGTCCATATATTGTCCGAGGAAAAGAAGTCAAGTTGCTTCTGAGATGGATTTCCCGAATGATACTAATGCAGCTGCTTTGCAGGAACTTCCCTGGATTCCTGAACAATGTCCCATTACCAAAGAGGATCACTTGTCGTCATCTGGTAAAGAGATTGGTCCAGTGGCTGAACCCATTCCAGATGGATTTAATCAGACCAGCCAAACATTCTCTTCCGAGAACAAACACGAGGAAAAAGAGCCAAACATGTCTTTGTTGTCGCTTAGTAAGTCTAAGCCAGATGAAGAGGAAAAGGCATGTGGTGAAGCTGATGGAAAGGTTTCCCAACGTTTAACCAATAGAAACTCTGGTCTTGAAAGTTTGTGGATAAGCCGGTTTTCTTCGAGAAGCTCTTTCCCTCAAAAAAAGGATCTTCATGAGAGAATCACTAATGAAGCAGCTAAAGAGGCCAATGACTCAGCCTCAGACGTGGCTAAGACCCGTGATTCGCAGAAAATGTTGACAGACAATAATGTTATAATACCTAGTGTCAGCAAGCTAGACGGGTCCGATAGTCCGAACCCGATTCTTCCCATAGTTTCTTCACTGAGAATAGAGTCTTCAGAAGCAATGGCTTCTATGTTTGGAAGAAGATTAGAAGCACTCAAACAGATCATGCCCTCTGGTTCTTTAGCTGAGAACAGACAGACGGATCTAATCTGTTTCTACTGCGGTAAAAAGGGTCATCGGTTAAGGGATTGTTTGGAAGTAACTGATATTGAGCTCAGAGATCTAGTACACAACTTAAGTGCTCGGAATGGAAGAGAAGAAGCGTCAAGTCTATGCATTAGATGTTTTCAGCTAAGTCACTGGGCTGCAACATGCCCAAATGCTCCACCGTACAGCTCAGGAGCCGAAGATAAAGCGATGAAGCACGCGATAGCTTCAACCTCTGGCACGAAACTGCCCTTAAGCGATTTCACAACCAAGCAAGTGACATATGTACCAAAGGCGGTCTTTAACGCTGTTCAGTTGCTTCGCATAACCCGCACAGACGTTATCAAGTAAAGTACCCAAAATTCACTAACATTATTAACACTTCAAAATTAAAAAAGACTGTGATCTCCTCCTCTTAGTTATGATTTTGCCATTACAGATGGATGAACACCAAGAAGTCTGTATCGGGTCTCGAAGGGTTCTTCTTGCGGTTAAGGCTCGGAAAATGGGAAGAAGGGATAGGAGGAACCGGATACCACGTAGCACGCATAGATGGTATATTATATATTTCCGTACGAATCAATTAATACTCGAACATTTCTGGATTCTTTTGTAAACTCAATGTTTGGTTTATAATGGACATGATTCAGGGGCCAAGGAGGGGCAAAGCTCAAGGGGACATTCAGAGAACAGCTCAATCTCGGTTAAGGTTGGAGGGATGACTTGTTTTGTTGAGTCTCAGTTTATCTCAAACCATGACTTTCTTGAGGTAATGTATATATATTTGATCACACAACAAATTAGTTTTTTTCATATCTTAATATTTTGTATTGTTTTACCTTCTGAGAAGGAGGAGTTGAAAGCATGGTGGCGTAGCGCCGGGAAAATTGCCGGGAGAAGCGGCGGTGGCGGCGACATCCCAACGGAAGAAGAACTTGATCGGAAAATTGAGCTGAGGAAGATGTTAGGCTTTTAGGGAATTTTTATATAGATAATACTTTTTTTATTTGGGGAAATTTTGTGTATAGGTTTTTATTTATGACATTGACACGTGTATCGTTTCGGTTGGTTAAGGAATGCTGAGAGTAAAGCTTTTGTCTAGGACGAATAATAGAGATTTTTATACATTTCTTGCAACAATCAAACGTAAACCTATACACAAAATCTTCTTGCAACAATCAAACGTAAACCTATACACAAAAACGTAAGGATTTAGGGTTTATCCAATCTTCTTGTTGATTTTTGAAGTTTGAGAAACAGTCGAATTTCCTCTGTTTTGTAGTTTTGGTGTTGGTTCCTTGTGCTGGATACTAAAGATTGTGATTTTTGATCTGTTTTTAGTAGAAAAGAGAAGCACCAGCTAATGAAAAGCCAGAACCAGTGAGAACCCATTTGAGAAACATGGTCATTGTGCCTGAAATGATTGGAAGTATCATCGGTGTGTACAACGGAAAGACTTTTAACCAAGTTGAGATCAAGCCAGAGATGATTGGGCATTACTTGGCTGAGTTCTCTATCTCGTACAAGCCGGTTAATCACGGTAGGCCCGGTGTTGGTGCTACTCACTCCTCAAGTGAAGACCTTGTGTTATCCTCTGGTTATGCCATTATAGGGTCCTTTTTTTTCTGTCTTTGGACCATTTTTGTCACTGCTTGTCTGTTTTTGTACTCTGCTCTAGTTTAAACATGACTCAACATACTTGTTTGGAAAATTTACCATTGGCAATGACCACTTCATGTTTATGAATATTCCCCTTAGGTATCAAGTTCTGATCTTTCACTTGCTGATATATATGGGAATCATATTGGTGTTGAGTAACTTTACTACTAGTGGCATGAGTCGGATATTTGAGAAAATATGTTTTAACCTGTTTCCCATTTTCACTTTTGGATACAAGCAAAGAATTTCAGATGTCTAATACCAACGACGCATTAGGCTAGTTCGATACGCGGTTAAGAAGAGTGGGGTCAGTCAAGTGGCAGTAGCTCGGTTTCCCGGACTTACTGTCGGAATCATCAAAAGGATGACCTCCGGCAATAGAAAATACTTAGCAATGTGTGCAAAAGGGTCATTTGAGTTTTTGAAAATACCTAGTCCGGCGTGACCTAACGCATTAAATTAGTATGCGAAAGTTCGAATTAGGCCGAAATTTTAATGGCTTCATAAAATAGTTATCCTGTCCAGCCATAGAATTCAACAAATCCGACCTAACCTGATGCATCTAGAAAAAATCTATTCAAAAATGAAAGTACACTACAGTTTGTTTCATGAAAGCACCCAAACAATAATAATGTGGTATATATTAACATCGACTTTCCAAATATATGGGCCCGGATTATATTTTACAAATATATGGGCCCGGTTTATGTTGGCGCAGGTAGAAAAATCAGGTTAGGGTTAGCCCAGCTATATATTTTGGTGCTTACGTTATGTTGTTTGTCGTTTGCGCAGTCACTGTTTATAGGCTCTCTGGAATTTGTAGGGTTTCATCGATCAGATCAAAAAATGGTCAGTTCCTCTAGATCTCTGTGTCATATTCTCATGTTTTAAGTTTTATAGGACATATTGTGTTTTGTAAATGTGTCTTGCAATGGGAATCTGTATAGGAACCAGAGGTTGCTGCGGCTGGTATTGTGAAGAAGAGAACGTTTAAGAAGTTTCAATTCAGAGGAGTCGATCTCGACGCTCTTCTTGACATGTCCACTGATGATCTTGTCAAGCTCTTCAGTTCTCGTATTCGCAGAAGGTTAAGAAAATATTCTTTGAAACTAATAAAAATTGTTGTGAATTTTGTAGATCGTCTCTTACATTTGTTTTTTTTTTTGTTTATGTGGATTCATTTTTTATAGGTTCTCTAGGGGGTTGACGAGGAAGCCTATGGCTTTGATCAAGAAATTGCGCAAAGCGGTAAAACCCCTAATTTTCTCCAATCAACAATTCCTTGTTTTGATTAGATCTTTGTTGAATTGTCATAATATATGCTTTTAGAACTTGTTTTCTCGTATTGTGTCTCTTGATTACTTGTGTACTCTTGG